AAGCGCTCCACTGGACTGAAAACCATAGTACCCATGAGAAACTAGAGATACAGACACCCTTCTACCCCTGCTAGCTGCTGCCACCTGCCTAGATGTGCTCAGGCCAAGGGAGTTGTACCACCCCAGCTGGCTTGGCCAGTCATTCCTCACATGCTGACACAGCGCCTCTCAGGAAGGCAGTCTGAGGATGTGGGGCTCTCCGGGTTTTGTCTCTTCATTACAGACACTCCCTCTTAGGGTTAAGACACAGTTAGAAAGAAGAGGGTAGCAACCTCAGCCCAAACCCCTACTCTGCCCCTCAAGAGCAGCCAGGTCTGCCAATGGCAATGAGCCAGCTTTGCAAGCAAAAGCGAGCGCCTTCAGCTATGGTTACCATCACTGAAAGCCATCCCTTAGACCGCATGGCCCTCGTCAGAATGAATCACTACCTCTTCATCAAAACTGATCTGAGGAAACTGTGAGTTCGTGAGGTTTGCGCCCCAAACATGGCTGCTCTAGGACTCAGGTCTCGGGTAACTGAGGAGGGTGAAGCTGGCTAGCCTAGGTGTCCCCGAGCACAGCCTTGCTATTTTAAATTCTTCTCTGAATGCTTTGTGACTGTCCACTTCGTGTCATTTGCCCCTCAAAACTATCCAGCTAGCCGAGCAATGTGAACAGACCTCATCATACACATCCAGAAGTGTAGACACAGGCTGCCCAGGGTCTTCCCAGCAGCCTGGACTCCAAGACAGACCGGCTTGATGGCCTCTTTCTTTCCCACAGCTTCTGGGCGCCCCTTCCTTGCAATGATCTCGGTTGTGAAAAAGAAAATACAGAGATTCAGGCACAAGCACAGGACCCTCCAGAGACTGTGACGTGTCCACTTCCAGGCCAGCCCTGGAGATGCACCTCTACACCGCCCCCTGGCTTAGCCACTGGCGGCACACTGTTCAAAGTGATAGAATTGAATCGGGAATTTGGGGAAATAGAAGCCAGAATTTGGCCAGCACTGATGGCGCAACCTGTTAGTCTGCCTTGAATCCAGATTCCAGATGCCCTGGATCGCTGTGCTGCGGGTCCCTTATGGGAGAGGAGCGTTGGGTGCCACTGGAAGCTGCGGGTCTACGCAAAGAGTTTCACGTACGGCGAAGCCTCGAATGCAATACCACGCTTCCACTAGTGACAGTAGTAATAAAGACAACATCATCAACTCTCTTTCAACACCACCCACTCCCCCAAAAGCCAAGAGTTTTGCGACCTAGGTCCTGAGTGGTGACGCGGAGTTTGCGGACTTGGTTCAGGCTGCGCACACAGG